TATGTCTTTTTATCTTTCAAATTCCGCTATTTAATTCTTGGATTTTTAATATCTCCCTATTATGTCTTATATTGTCTTTAATAAATACATCTTGTACATTATCCTATGTTGTGTGAAACTTTCTCCTGGAATGCCTTTCCAGTCATTACATAATCTATGATCCTCTTGTCTAGTTAGAAAAAATCTATGACTTTTATTTAATCCGCTTTTTAAAGTTATTAAATGTCATCCCTCTTTTTAAAATACGCATTTGCTATCATAAGATCATATGTTATAGCAAAATTTAACACATACTCTCCAAATCCATGTCCATCACGTATCCTCTCATGTCTAACACAATCATTTCTTATGAGACCACTATGTGTAGGATTTCTCCTATAGGTATTGCTCTCATGAGTTAATCCATATCCTCCCAAAATTGAATTTTAATGTGTTCATCCAATCCTATTTGAGGTGCATATGCACTAACAATATTAATTGTACTTCCTTCTTTTTTAAATTTAATTAATATTATTCTATCTCCTTTCCCTAGAACAATTACCATTTCTTGTTTAAAATGCAAATCTACTATTATTCCTACTCCATTTCATTGTCTATCTTTTCTACGATAATAAGGTTTATAACCTGTACCTTTATTTCCCTAGCTTTAACTCATCTCGTTTAGCTTGTTGTAGGCACGCTATATTAACTTTTCTTCTAATCATGGTTTCAACTAGCTCCATTCCTTTACCGGTGTTCCAATATTCAAAGTTGGTGACTTGAGTTTGGTATCCTGGACTAACTTTTTTACCACGCTCATCCAGAGTGACGTAGGAACCCTTGGGAATTGTTCATCTTCATCGCATCCAGGCGACTAAACTATGGTGCCCCTCGCCCACTTTCCAAAATACTCGGGAGTAGGTGTAACACATCGCTTTTGGGGAATACTAGTATTCGTTTTATTTTTATTACATAGCTATATAATGGCCCTCCAAGTATTTCCTAATCCTAAAAAGACTTGTACTCTTAAGTTATTTATTTATTAGTAAACTTCTACAGACTAGAACTAGACTCCGTATCTAGAAACATCCAATAATAAAAATTGATCCAAAAGACGACCCACGGGTCATATTATGACTTGTTTCAGCAAATCTAGAAATTACCAAAATACCCTTAACTTTAGAAAACATAAAAGACACAAAATAAAAAATACCAGTATATCAACTTTATGTCGCTCAAAAGATTCAATTAGACTCGAATACAATTATGCGAGGTGCCATGTGGGTCTTTGTTTTCAATGTAAACCAAATTCAATAGTTTGCTGCACCTTTGAATTTGTATTTTCTTCAACATCTTATGGGCTGCATCATGATGATTCTTTTTTCAAAGAATCCAACTCAAAACCAGTTGATGATGAATGGAGAACCGCACAAGACTCATATATTATATTTGTAGGTGTTATTTATAGACGAGCTCAACCACTCTTCCGTATGGAAAATCCCCACTCGTACGTGGAGAGATAAATAGAAAAATCAGAAGACAAACTTGTAGATGAAACAAGTGAATGTATGATACACAAAAAGGTAGAATCAACCATCAAATTAAGAAATCAATTGACCATGAGTGGAGTGAAGGGACCCACTAAGCTCATATGCTAGTTTTAGAGGTGTTATTCTATTAATGTCAGACAAGCTCTAACAGCTTTGAGGTGATGTTGCTTGAGCTTTTGGAGTTGAAGAAAGTTGTGAGTGAACTTGATCAACATCAACTTTTAGCATAACCCAAGGGTTTTAAGATCATTGGCTACACTTATAAGGAAGAGATAGTTCCAGATGAGGCAGAGGAGTAAGATTTGGAGGGATGAAAGTCAAATAGCATTGAAGAAGATGATTTGCTAGTTGGTGAGGATGATTTTTCGGTCTTTATGACAGGTGGATGCGCAAATTGAAAGTTTAGTTGTTTCGATAGTTAACTTATATGTTTCCAAATGTTAATAACTTAAGATATTGATGGAATTTGAAAATTTATTATTTGAAAAAGTTGAAACTTGGATACTTGATAATTAATGGACCTAGTTGTAACTTTTATGCATTGCTTGAAAGATTCCTCCAATAATTAAATCTTGGGATTTTCACACTTTGCACACCGAAAGATGTTAAAATTTTTTAAAAGATTATTTTTCCCATATTGCATCTTCATTGTTCTAAACTACTTGCAATTTGGTCCCTTAGACTAACTGTCATCTCTATTCCTATCAAATCTCGTTGTACATGGGACGCACATGTAGGGATGGCAGTGGACCGGGAAAAAACGGGTATTCGTCCAAACCCGTTCCGTTTGGACTGGGGATAGACTATACGTATTGGACGGTGGACGTATATGGGAATACCCGTATAAACCCGTGCGGGGATGAAGGCGGGAGTGGACTTACCCTTATCTCCGCCCCGTCCCATCCCATCCCATCCCATCCCATCCCAATTACCCGTTAAATATATATATATATATATCCCTTTTGTTCTATGTTCTTCCTTATTCCTGTTTATATATATATATATCCCTTTTGTTCTATGTTCTTCCTTATTCCTGTTTTCTCCTTCGCATGTATCAAGCAAGAGTGTATGTACTGGAGTTAACAAAAAATGTTATTATGTGGCATTTGAAATATCACTTTTGTTCTATGTTATTTTTTCATGCAAGTATATCCCTTTTGTTCTATGTTCTTCCATATTCCTCTTTTCTCCTCCTCCACATGTATCAAGCAAGAGTGTATGTACTGGAGTTAACTAAAAATGTTGTTATGTGGCATTTGAAATATCACTTTTTTATATAATCTTGTTTTTCTACCTATTTTTGTGAGTAGCATGAGTAATTCAATACTTAATGCGTCAATGGCTGTGATATTACTTGTTGCAATACAGGGGCAACAGTGGTTTTGGAGCCTTGGGAGAATTGAGTGAGCTCTAGAACAATAATTTCGAGTTTGAAACACATTTCATATATGAATCTGTTTGGCTCCTAGAAGGCAGCCTTTGTGATNTTCCTTATTCTTGTTTTCTCCTTCGCATGTATCAAGCAAGAGTGTATGTACTGGAGTTAACAAAAAATGTTATTATGTGGCATTTGAAATATGACTTTTGTTCTATGTTATTTTTTCATGCAAGTATATCCCTTTTGTTCTATGTTCTTCCATATTCCTCTTTTCTCCTCCTCCACATGTATCAAGCAAGAGTGTATGTACTGGAGTTAACTAAAAATGTTGTTATGTGGCATTTGAAATATCACTTTTTTATATAATCTTGTTTTTCTACCTATTTTTGTGAGTAGCATGAGTAATTCAATACTTAATGCGTCAATGGCTGTGATATTACTTGTTGCAATACAGGGGCAACAGTGGTTTTGGAGCCTTGGGAGAATTGAGTGAGCTCTAGAACAATAATTTCGAGTTTGAAACACATTTCATATATGAATCTGTTTGGCTCCTAGAAGGCAGCCTTTGTGATTGGATTATTGGCTCCTAGGAGGCTGCCTTTGTGATTGGATAATAGCTATGAGATCTCTTTCACAAACACTTTGTTGCCCAAAAGCCTTAGTTTTTTGCTAGCCTCTGGTTTTTGTGAGTGGTTGCAGTAGACCTCTAGTTTTTTAGACATTTGTTGTTTGTGTTGTGTTGAAATATGTTATGCTATATTATGTTGTGTTAGATTATGTTAAATTATTTAGAATGTTGTTGGATTATTTAAAATATTTGATTTATTTAGAATTTTGGATTATGTTGACTTGAACTTAGGCTTGGGCTTAGGCTTGGGCTTGGGCTTGGGCTTGGGCGGGTACGGGGGAAGTGGGGATGGGGACGGAGATTAAAAATTTATCCGCGGACGAGGATGGAGATGAAAATTATACCCGTTAATTAGGGTGGACCGGGGATGGACGAAGATATTTTAAGTGGGTACGGGGATGAAGACTATACCCCTCGCCCTCGCTTCGGTCCATTGACATCCCTACGCACATGTTGTGCCCATGGCCAAAATTGTAAAAACACCTAATTCTTACCTTTGTTCATTTTGACCTAGTAGGCAAAACATTAGGTGTTTTTATAATTTTGTCCATGGGCAAAACATGTGTGTCGCATGTGCTACAAGATTTAATGGGAATAGAGATGGTAGTTGGTTTGACAGGCCACATTGTAACCAATTTAGAACAATGAGTAACCAATATGAAAAAAAATAATCTTTTTAGGGTACAAAGTGAGAATTTTAACATATTTTGGGGTGCAAAGTGTGAAAAACCCTTAAATCTTTGCTTGGTATTTACAATGTTCGCTCACTTCAATAAAGCCATCACCTTGCTTCTCGCCTAGCCCCCCCAGGACACCTTTATCACCTCGACACGCCTTAAGAGTCAAATAACATTGGGTATTAGTGTATGACTCAAGCTTGTTTGAATTGGGACATAGATTTTTATTGTAGTCGTGCAATTTTGTTGAAGCTTTGTGCGAAAACGGCACATTTGCATCTCTCACAAGGCATCACAGGTGCATCCCCATAACCTGTGCTGTATAAGCAAGACTTTGTGCTTGTTTTAGTGGCACATTTTCTGACTTCTAATTGAGTTCCGTCAAACACTTTGGCTGCATTGTAACTCAACTGCAGTGACTCTTGGTAATTTAAGATTGGTTGGTGCCATTAATTTTGTTTTTATATTGATTCCCTTCTACTGAGATTTAGAGGCTGAACTTTTTTCCTGTGTTTTTATGGGAGTGGACTAGGTAAGCTTCCAATGCTAAGAGGGATGGTCTAAATGATTGTTTTGTGTCTCTACTCTTACATAATGTTTTTTCCTCTTATGAGATTCTATTTTTGAAACATTGAACACCGGAGCTTTGGTTACTTCATGCGATTTATCTTCAGCTAAAATTGTTGCCCTGTGCGTTGTTAATTTTTCTGTGTATATGTTCCATTTTATTATGCTGTTTCCTTAGAAATTTTTTATAAAATTCTTAGGCACAACAAGGAGAGGTGTCAATGGTTGCGGATCTTGCGGGTCCTGCGTACAAATTGGAACTGACTTCTCCTGTTCCATCTGTTGGTATGGTAAGAATTGCACATATTTTTTATAAATTGATTATTTACTGTTAATCCAGTCGTAGGAGATTGCAATTATGAAACTCTAGTTGTATGAAAGTTATTCTTGATTTGTCCTGCTTAAGAAGTTTGTAATCCTAAAGTAAAACCGTAAAAACCCTTTTGAGAAGTTAGAAGAAATATCTCTAGATGCATCCCGTTAACAGCTGTTAATGCTCGAGTGTTTCATGCACTGCTTTACAGCCATAGAGCCATTGATTATCATGTTATATACTACGTTGTGATAGTATTTTCTTATGTGCTCTCTTGATGCTGCAACCAGAAATAACTTTTAAATTTTGGTCCCTAAAGCATTACTTACATGCATAGCTTCTTCTCATATATATTACTGCAAAATTCTAGCATTTGCCAATTGATTATCTGCCTTCATGGTGCAGCAGCCAAAAGCAACCTTAAAGTTCCCCCTTGGTGAAGTTTCACTTGAGGATAAAGTGGAGGAGGAAGAGGAAGCAAAGAGAATGTTGTCACTAAATGGGATCCTAAAAGGTTATATCCTAAATGGAGTTTGCAATGCTGAATACAAGGATAAAAGTTTGAATTTTACATACTCGTATAAGGTAGTTTTCTCTCAGTATTCTTTATTTTCAATGCATTTTGTTTAGTTGTATCTTTCTGTTAATTAAAGCACTCATGACTACACATTTGTAATGGTACACGGTAATTTTGCAAAATCTGAACCTGGGATCATCATCCTTTCCAGAAAATGTTGTCTCTTACCTGCTGATTCAGTGAATTCCCCATTTTGAGCCTTCATTTTTTTTCCACAATAAATGGAATTGAGAGTTTCATATTGCTGTAGGATGANAGTAAATGGGATCCTAAAAGGTTATATCCTAAATGGAGTTTGCAATGCTGAATACAAGGATGAAAGTTTGAATTTTACATACTCGTATAAGGTAGTTTTCTCTCAGTATTCTTTATTTTCAATGCATTTTGTTTAGTTGTATATTTCTGTTAATTAAAGCACTCATGACTACACATTTGTAATGGTACACGGTAATTTTGCAAAATCTGAACCTGGGATCATCATCCTTTCCAGAAAATGTTGTCTCTTACCTGCTGATTCAGTGAATTCCCCATTTTGAGCCTTCATTTTTTTTCCACAATAAATGGAATTGAGAGTTTCATATTGCTGTAGGATGAGCAAATGGCTTTCATTCCACACATTTCTCTACCGTCAAATTCATTGTCATTTGCATTCAAGCGGCAGTTTGGTCCTTCAGACAAGTTGAGGTAATCTCTCTCTCTCTCTCTCTCTCTCTCTCACCATGCATGGGAATCTTCATTCGCCACCTCACACAGTCGTGTATTAAACTATTGAAGTATAAAAACTTAAGTTATACTCTCTCTAACAATTTAAGATTTTAGAGTAGATGGTTGTTTAACATGGTATTAGAGCATGAAGTCTTGTATTCGAATATCATGGTTCAGGCTCCGGTTCACCCATACTTCAAAGTATCAGTTGATACCGTTATGAGTTGGCCGAGTTGTATTCGACTTGACACTTTCTGAGACAATATCGTTATGCGATACATATAAACCGCGAGTCTCACACGACTTGGCTGAGGTGACCAAGTTGTATTTGAGTCAATCCAAAGTTGCTGAGTTATCGTCATCGAATCGGCCGATACGATTCCGCGATGTCGCATGTCATAAATTTCTTGTCATGCTCAACATTTTTTAGGTCATATCACCCGATATAGTGTCGTGACTGACGTGTCTCAGAACTCTTCGAGACGATAGTTGATATTGCGACCTTGAACCAATTCTTGCCTCCTCCCTAATTATTAAAAAGATTTTCACGTTTTAGGTCTAAAATCTAGACTGCCTATGGGGGGGTATGTTGAAGTATAAATATTTAAGTTACACCATTTTCAACAACTTAAGCTTTTGGAAGTAGATGGTTGTTTAACACAAACATTGTACCATTTTTTTCGTAGATTGTTGACGATAATTTGTTCATTAAAAATTTTAGAATTTCACACTACTTTTTGCTCCGATGCTACCACAATCAAAGTTATGAGGCTCATGATGTTTGCATATCTAATTTCTTCTAGTTTTGTTTTTGCCACAAGTATGTCTTTCGCTGTTGGGGATTTGGGGAGGAGGATAGTAAAAAGCGACTAAGTTACATAGGGTTCTTCTGGGCTTGATCCAATTTCACAATCCCGGTGGTCCGTTTGAAGGAAAAGTACGTGAAAGAGCCAATGTGAATTGGTCACAAGCCCATCGAGTTTGATAACGTAGTGATTGGTGTAAACGTAACATAGTAATTGATGTACATGATTTTTTCCAAGTCTTGATACAGTAAGTTTATAAAACTTGAAACTCAACCAAGTTGCGTGTCACTACATGTTGATGGGGCACAAAAGGCTTAAACATGGACGTACTAGTTACACTATAGATTTCTAGCACAGTTGGTTATAATATCTTATGCACTAACGAAGGGGAAATCCTTTTCAAGTATTTTTGGTTGAAAAGGATGTCTGACATTATCCATGTTAGAATTATTGGGAAAAGTCCACACTCGATCACTAGGAATATGAAGAATATAAAAATAGTAAATAAATATTTTGAGCTATGGTAACGCGTCTAATTGTAGGTGAAAAAAAACTTGAATGCTATATAAGTATTACAATTCATTTGTAAATTTCTACCCAATTGTTGCATATTTCTTCCAGTTCCATACTTCTCAAGGCAGTAATTGCAGCCTGGAATAAACTCGAATGGTGTTTCTAATCTATTCGTATGTTTTTTGGTCAGCTACTGGTACAATTTTGAATCGTGCAACTGGAGTGCAGTTTATAAACACACAGTTGGCAAGGAATTCAAACTTAAAGCTGGTTATGATTCAGAGGTGCGGCTTGGCTGGGCATCTCTTTGGGTAAGTTCTACTTGTTCATTTTAATGGCCTTCTAGTGATTAATGATGGCAGTTGTATTTTGATTATCTTTCCTTTACTTTGCTGATCTTCAAATTGCTTGGATGGCTTTGCATATTTTGTAGCACATTTTCTTATTTTTGTGTGCTTTCTATGTTCTATTTTATTCTTCGGGTGATAAAGTTGTCGGTGGTGCTAACAATCACCAAGCACATTCTACCCCGGAGGCTGCTAGTCAGTCCCGTCCTTTGTAGAGTAGATGTTACACAAAAACTGCAAAACGTGCTACATTTCTATCTGTACATGTCAGCAAATATACTGCTTGAAATAGATTCTATAATGGTCTTTCCAATTGTCTCTTTTCTAAAAATTCCGTAACTTTGTCACGCTACATTAGGAGTAAATTCATTTANCGGAGGCTGCTAGTCAGTCCCGTCCTTTGTAGAGTAGATGTTACACAAAAACTGCAAAACGTGCTACAATTCTATCTGTACATGTCAGCAAATATACTGCTTGAAATAGATTCTATAATGGTCTTTCCAATTGTCTCTTTTCTAAAAATTCCGTAACTTTGTCACGCTACATTAGGAGTAAATTCATTTAACCCCCTTTGCACTTTATCCCCTTTTGTTTGAAAATAAAAAAAAAACCCACTACCAATCTCCACCCATTGTTCATATGGTGTAACCACCATTGGCCTACCCATGAGAGATCAAGGCTCTCCATCTATTGGACATATATGCATTATAGGTTTGTTTTGTGTATATGAAAACAAGGGTTTTTCCTTGTCGCTAGCCAGGGCGAAAAAGGGGCTTCTCTTGTGATTCTGGATGACTGATTTGTCATGTCGTTTTGGCCGAGGTCATTTACATTGGTTTGGTGTTGATACCAGTAGGACATGTTAGCTTTGCTGGGGAGAAAGATGTTGGCCGGTAGAGGTATTGCAATGCCAATGATGGTATATTGACCTTGAATGCANAAAATTTTGGATTATGTTGACTTGAACTTAGGCTTGGGCTTGGGCGGGTACAGGGGAAGTGGGGATGGGGACGGAGATTAAAAATTTATCCGCGGACGAGGATGGAGANGGTGGCCGGTAGAGGTATTGCAATGCCAATGATGGTATATTGACCTTGAATGCATGGTTCAAGTTCACAGTATCGGTCATCGATTCGGAGAGTTCTAAGACACATCGGTCATGGCGTGGTATCGGGCGATATGACTTAAAAAAAATGTTGAACATGGCGGGANGATGAAAATTATACCCGTTAATTAGGGTGGACCGGGGATGGACGAAGATATTTTAAGTGGGTACGGGGATGAAGACTATACCCCTCGCCCTCGCTTCGGTCCATTGACATCCCTACGCACATGTTGTGCCCATGGCCAAAATTGTAAAAACACCTAATTCTTACCTTTGTTCATTTTGACCTAGTAGGCAAAACATTAGGTGTTTTTATAATTTTGTCCATGGGCAAAACATGTGTGTCGCATGTGCTACAAGATTTAATGGGAATAGAGATGGTAGTTGGTTTGACAGGCCACATTGTAACCAATTTAGAACAATGAGTAACCAATATGAAAAAAAATAATCTTTTTAGGGTACAAAGTGAGAATTTTAACATATTTTGGGGTGCAAAGTGTGAAAAACCCTTAAATCTTTGCTTGGTATTTACAATGTTCGCTCACTTCAATAAAGCCATCACCTTGCTTCTCGCCTAGCCCCCCCAGGACACCTTTATCACCTCGACACGCCTTAAGAGTCAAATAACATTGGGTATTAGTGTATGACTCAAGCTTGTTTGAATTGGGACATAGATTTTTATTGTAGTCGTGCAATTTTGTTGAAGCTTTGTGCGAAAACGGCACATTTGCATCTCTCACAAGGCATCACAGGTGCATCCCCATAACCTGTGCTGTATAAGCAAGACTTTGTGCTTGTTTTAGTGGCACATTTTCTGACTTCTAATTGAGTTCCGTCAAACACTTTGGCTGCATTGTAACTCAACTGCAGTGACTCTTGGTAATTTAAGATTGGTTGGTGCCATTAATTTTGTTTTTATATTGATTCCCTTCTACTGAGATTTAGAGGCTGAACTTTTTTCCTGTGTTTTTATGGGAGTGGACTAGGTAAGCTTCCAATGCTAAGAGGGATGGTCTAAATGATTGTTTTGTGTCTCTACTCTTACATAATGTTTTTTCCTCTTATGAGATTCTATTTTTGAAACATTGAACACCGGAGCTTTGGTTACTTCATGCGATTTATCTTCAGCTAAAATTGTTGCCCTGTGCGTTGTTAATTTTTCTGTGTATATGTTCCATTTTATTATGCTGTTTCCTTAGAAATTTTTTATAAAATTCTTAGGCACAACAAGGAGAGGTGTCAATGGTTGCGGATCTTGCGGGTCCTGCGTACAAATTGGAACTGACTTCTCCTGTTCCATCTGTTGGTATGGTAAGAATTGCACATATTTTTTATAAATTGATTATTTACTGTTAATCCAGTCGTAGGAGATTGCAATTATGAAACTCTAGTTGTATGAAAGTTATTCTTGATTTGTCCTGCTTAAGAAGTTTGTAATCCTAAAGTAAAACCGTAAAAACCCTTTTGAGAAGTTAGAAGAAATATCTCTAGATGCATCCCGTTAACAGCTGTTAATGCTCGAGTGTTTCATGCACTGCTTTACAGCCATAGAGCCATTGATTATCATGTTATATACTACGTTGTGATAGTATTTTCTTATGTGCTCTCTTGATGCTGCAACCAGAAATAACTTTTAAATTTTGGTCCCTAAAGCATTACTTACATGCATAGCTTCTTCTCATATATATTACTGCAAAATTCTAGCATTTGCCAATTGATTATCTGCCTTCATGGTGCAGCAGCCAAAAGCAACCTTAAAGTTCCCCCTTGGTGAAGTTTCACTTGAGGATAAAGTGGAGGAGGAAGAGGAAGCAAAGAGAATGTTGTCACTAAATGGGATCCTAAAAGGTTATATCCTAAATGGAGTTTGCAATGCTGAATACAAGGATAAAAGTTTGAATTTTACATACTCGTATAAGGTAGTTTTCTCTCAGTATTCTTTATTTTCAATGCATTTTGTTTAGTTGTATCTTTCTGTTAATTAAAGCACTCATGACTACACATTTGTAATGGTACACGGTAATTTTGCAAAATCTGAACCTGGGATCATCATCCTTTCCAGAAAATGTTGTCTCTTACCTGCTGATTCAGTGAATTCCCCATTTTGAGCCTTCATTTTTTTTCCACAATAAATGGAATTGAGAGTTTCATATTGCTGTAGGATGAGCAAATGGCTTTCATTCCACACATTTCTCTACCGTCAAATTCATTGTCATTTGCATTCAAGCGGCAGTTTGGTCCTTCAGACAAGTTGAGGTAATCTCTCTCTCTCTCTCTCTCTCTCTCTCACCATGCATGGGAATCTTCATTCGCCACCTCACACAGTCGTGTATTAAACTATTGAAGTATAAAAACTTAAGTTATACTCTCTCTAACAATTTAAGATTTTAGAGTAGATGGTTGTTTAACATGGTATTAGAGCATGAAGTCTTGTATTCGAATATCATGGTTCAGGCTCCGGTTCACCCATACTTCAAAGTATCAGTTGATACCGTTATGAGTTGGCCGAGTTGTATTCGACTTGACACTTTCTGAGACAATATCGTTATGCGATACATATAAACCGCGAGTCTCACACGACTTGGCTGAGGTGACCAAGTTGTATTTGAGTCAATCCAAAGTTGCTGAGTTATCGTCATCGAATCGGCCGATACGATTCCGCGATGTCGCATGTCATAAATTTCTTGTCATGCTCAACATTTTTTAGGTCATATCACCCGATATAGTGTCGTGACTGACGTGTCTCAGAACTCTTCGAGACGATAGTTGATATTGCGACCTTGAACCAATTCTTGCCTCCTCCCTAATTATTAAAAAGATTTTCACGTTTTAGGTCTAAAATCTAGACTGCCTATGGGGGGGTATGTTGAAGTATAAATATTTAAGTTACACCATTTTCAACAACTTAAGCTTTTGGAAGTAGATGGTTGTTTAACACAAACATTGTACCATTTTTTTCGTAGATTGTTGACGATAATTTGTTCATTAAAAATTTTAGAATTTCACACTACTTTTTGCTCCGATGCTACCACAATCAAAGTTATGAGGCTCATGATGTTTGCATATCTAATTTCTTCTAGTTTTGTTTTTGCCACAAGTATGTCTTTCGCTGTTGGGGATTTGGGGAGGAGGATAGTAAAAAGCGACTAAGTTACATAGGGTTCTTCTGGGCTTGATCCAATTTCACAATCCCGGTGGTCCGTTTGAAGGAAAAGTACGTGAAAGAGCCAATGTGAATTGGTCACAAGCCCATCGAGTTTGATAACGTAGTGATTGGTGTAAACGTAACATAGTAATTGATGTACATGATTTTTTCCAAGTCTTGATACAGTAAGTTTATAAAACTTGAAACTCAACCAAGTTGCGTGTCACTACATGTTGATGGGGCACAAAAGGCTTAAACATGGACGTACTAGTTACACTATAGATTTCTAGCACAGTTGGTTATAATATCTTATGCACTAACGAAGGGGAAATCCTTTTCAAGTATTTTTGGTTGAAAAGGATGTCTGACATTATCCATGTTAGAATTATTGGGAAAAGTCCACACTCGATCACTAGGAATATGAAGAATATAAAAATAGTAAATAAATATTTTGAGCTATGGTAACGCGTCTAATTGTAGGTGAAAAAAAACTTGAATGCTATATAAGTATTACAATTCATTTGTAAATTTCTACCCAATTGTTGCATATTTCTTCCAGTTCCATACTTCTCAAGGCAGTAATTGCAGCCTGGAATAAACTCGAATGGTGTTTCTAATCTATTCGTATGTTTTTTGGTCAGCTACTGGTACAATTTTGAATCGTGCAACTGGAGTGCAGTTTATAAACACACAGTTGGCAAGGAATTCAAACTTAAAGCTGGTTATGATTCAGAGGTGCGGCTTGGCTGGGCATCTCTTTGGGTAAGTTCTACTTGTTCATTTTAATGGCCTTCTAGTGATTAATGATGGCAGTTGTATTTTGATTATCTTTCCTTTACTTTGCTGATCTTCAAATTGCTTGGATGGCTTTGCATATTTTGTAGCACATTTTCTTATTTTTGTGTGCTTTCTATGTTCTATTTTATTCTTCGGGTGATAAAGTTGTCGGTGGTGCTAACAATCACCAAGCACATTCTACCCCGGAGGCTGCTAGTCAGTCCCGTCCTTTGTAGAGTAGATGTTACACAAAAACTGCAAAACGTGCTACAATTCTATCTGTACATGTCAGCAAATATACTGCTTGAAATAGATTCTATAATGGTCTTTCCAATTGTCTCTTTTCTAAAAATTCCGTAACTTTGTCACGCTACATTAGGAGTAAATTCATTTAACCCCCTTTGCACTTTATCCCCTTTTGTTTGAAAATAAAAAAAAAACCCACTACCAATCTCCACCCATTGTTCATATGGTGTAACCACCATTGGCCTACCCATGAGAGATCAAGGCTCTCCATCTATTGGACATATATGCATTATAGGTTTGTTTTGTGTATATGAAAACAAGGGTTTTTCCTTGTCGCTAGCCAGGGCGAAAAAGGGGCTTCTCTTGTGATTCTGGATGACTGATTTGTCATGTCGTTTTGGCCGAGGTCATTTACATTGGTTTGGTGTTGATACCAGTAGGACATGTTAGCTTTGCTGGGGAGAAAGATGTTGGCCGGTAGAGGTATTGCAATGCCAATGATGGTATATTGACCTTGTATGCATGGTTCAAGTTCACAGTATCGGTCATCGATTCGGAGAGTTCTAAGACACATCGGTCATGGCGTGGTATCGGGCGATATGACTTAAAAAAAATGTTGAACATGGCGGGAAATTCATGACATACTACAACGTCGTGAAATCGTATCAATCGATTTTGTGGCGATAATTTGGCAATTCAAGATTGATTTGGTTACAACTCAGTCATGTGAGACTCGGGGTTTATACGTATCATGTAACAAGTATCGTCTCAGAAGATGCAAAGTCGGATACGACTCGACTGACNCGGGCCACATTGTAACCAATTTAGAACAATGAGTAACCAATATGAAAAAAAATAATCTTTTTAGGGTACAAAGTGAGAATTTTAACATATTTTNCAGGCCACATTGTAACCAATTTAGAACAATGAGGGTGCAATATGAAAAAAAATAATCTTTTTAGGGTACAAAGTGAGAATTTTAACATATTTTGGGGTGNACTCTTATGGGTATCGACCAATATTTTGAACCATGGTCCAAGCCCGCTAACAAGGATAGAAGTGACTTTTACAACTTTATTTGGATTGTTTCCCCTCACCAATTCACTTTATGGTCCACATCAATGTTTTAAAAAGCGCGCTTAGGCGAGAAGCGAGGCAAAGCGAAGGGATCTCGCCTGAAAGACCCCAGGCGAAGCAAATGCTAGTGAAGCGAGAAAAAAGCGAAAAAAGCGATAGCGAAAAGCGAAAAAGCGAACACCTGAGTCATTAGAGGCGAAGTTGTTTTATTTTTATTATGGACCGTTGGATTGGACAANTTGGGGTGCAAAGTGTGAAAAACCCTTAAATCTTTGCTTGGTATTTACAATGTTCGCTCACTTCAATAAAGCCATCACCTTGCTTCTCGCCTAGCCCCCCCAGGACACCTTTATCACCTCGACACGCCTTAAGAGTCAAATAACATTGGGTATTAGTGTATGACTCAAGCTTGTTTGAATTGGGACATAGATTTTTATTGTAGTCGTGCAATTTTGTTGAAGCTTTGTGCGAAAACGGCACATTTGCATCTCTCACAAGGCATCACAGGTGCATCCCCATAACCTGTGCTGTATAAGCAAGACTTTGTGCTTGTTTTAGTGGCACATTTTCTGACTTCTAATTGAGTTCCGTCAAACACTTTGGCTGCATTGTAACTCAACTGCAGTGACTCTTGGTAATTTAAGATTGGTTGGTGCCATTAATTTTGTTTTTATATTGATTCCCTTCTACTGAGATTTAGAGGCTGAACTTTTTTCCTGTGTTTTTATGGGAGTGGACTAGGTAAGCTTCCAATGCTAAGAGGGATGGTCTAAATGATTGTTTTGTGTCTCTACTCTTACATAATGTTTTTTCCTCTTATGAGATTCTATTTTTGAAACATTGAACACCGGAGCTTTGGTTACTTCATGCGATTTATCTTCAGCTAAAATTGTTGCCCTGTGCGTTGTTAATTTTTCTGTGTATATGTTCCATTTTATTATGCTGTTTCCTTAGAAATTTTTTATAAAATTCTTAGGCACAACAAGGAGAGGTGGCAATGGTTGCGGATCTTGCGGGTCCTGCGTACAAATTGGAACTGACTTCTCCTGTTCCATCTGTTGGTATGGTAAGAATTGCACATATTTTTTATAAATTGATTATTTACTGTTAATCCAGTCGTAGGAGATTGCAATTATGAAACTCTAGTTGTATGAAAGTTATTCTTGATTTGTCCTGCTTAAGAAGTTTGTAATCCTAAAGTAAAACCGTAAAAACCCTTTTGAGAAGTTAGAAGAAATATCTCTAGATGCATCCCGTTAACAGCTGTTAATGCTCGAGTGTTTCATGCACTGCTTTACAGCCATAGAGCCATTGATTATCATGTTATATACTACGTTGTGATAGTATTTTCTTATGTGCTCTCTTGATGCTGCAACCAGAAATAACTTTTAAATTTTGGTCCCTAAAGCATTACTTACATGCATAGCTTCTTCTCATATATATTACTGCAAAATTCTAGCATTTGCCAATTGATTATCTGCCTTCATGGTGCAGCAGCCAAAAGCAACCTTAAAGTTCCCCCTTGGTGAAGTTTCACTTGAGGATAAAGTGGAGGAGGAAGAGGAAGCAAAGAGAATGTTGTCACTAAATGGGATCCTAAAAGGTTATATCCTAAATGGAGTTTGCAATGCTGAATACAAGGATAAAAGTTTGAATTTTACATACTCGTATAAGGTAGTTTTCTCTCAGTATTCTTTATTTTCAATGCATTTTGTTTAGTTGTATCTTTCTGTTAATTAAAGCACTCATGACTACACATTTGTAATGGTACACGGTAATTTTGCAAAATCTGAACCTGGGATCATCATCCTTTCCAGAAAATGTTGTCTCTTACCTGCTGATTCAGTGAATTCCCCATTTTGAGCCTTCATTTTTTTTCCACAATAAATGGAATTGAGAGTTTCATATTGCTGTAGGATGAGCAAATGGCTTTCATTCCACACATTTCTCTACCGTCAAATTCATTGTCATTTGCATTCAAGCGGCAGTTTGGTCCTTCAGACAAGTTGAGGTAATCTCTCTCTCTCTCTCTCTCTCTCTCTCACCATGCATGGGAATCTTCATTCGCCACCTCACACAGTCGTGTATTAAACTATTGAAGTATAAAAACTTAAGTTATACTCTCTCTAACAATTTAAGATTTTAGAGTAGATGGTTGTTTAACATGGTATTAGAGCATGAAGTCTTGTATTCGAATATCATGGTTCAGGCTCCGGTTCACCCATACTTCAAAGTATCAGTTGATACCGTTATGAGTTGGCCGAGTTGTATTCGACTTGACACTTTCTGAGACAATATCGTTATGCGATACATATAAACCGCGAGTCTCACACGACTTGGCTGAGGTGACCAAGTTGTATTTGAGTCAATCCAAAGTTGCTGAGTTATCGTCATCGAATCGGCCGATACGATTCCGCGATGTCGCATGTCATAAATTTCTTGTCATGCTCAACATTTTTTAGGTCATATCACCCGATATAGTGTCGTGACTGACGTGTCTCAGAACTCTTCGAGACGATAGTTGATATTGCGACCTTGAACCAATTCTTGCCTCCTCCCTAATTATTAAAAAGATTTTCACGTTTTAGGTCTAAAATCTAGACTGCCTATGGGGGGGTATGTTGAAGTATAAATATTTAAGTTACACCATTTTCAACAACTTAAGCTTTTGGAAGTAGATGGTTGTTTAACACAAACATTGTACCATTTTTTTCGTAGATTGTTGACGATAATTTGTTCATTAAAAATTTTAGAATTTCACACTACTTTTTGCTCCGATGCTACCACAATCAAAGTTATGAGGCTCATGATGTTTGCATATCTAATTTCTTCTAGTTTTGTTTTTGCCACAAGTATGTCTTTCGCTGTTGGGGATTTGGGGAGGAGGATAGTAAAAAGCGACTAAGTTACATAGGGTTCTTCTGGGCTTGATCCAATTTCACAATCCCGGTGGTCCGTTTGAAGGAAAAGTACGTGAAAGAGCCAATGTGAATTGGTCACAAGCCCATCGAGTTTGATAACGTAGTGATTGGTGTAAACGTAACATAGTAATTGATGTACATGATTTTTTCCAAGTCTTGATACAGTAAGTTTATAAAACTTGAAACTCAACCAAGTTGCGTGTCACTACATGTTGATGGGGCACAAAAGGCTTAAACATGGACGTACTAGTTACACTATAGATTTCTAGCACAGTTGGTTATAATATCTTATGCACTAACGAAGGGGAAATCCTTTTCAAGTATTTTTGGTTGAAAAGGATGTCTGACATTATCCATGTTAGAATTATTGGGAAAAGTCCACACTCGATCACTAGGAATATGAAGAATATAAAAATAGTAAATAAATATTTTGAGCTATGGTAACGCGTCTAATTGTAGGTGAAAAAAAACTTGAATGCTATATAAGTATTACAATTCATTTGTAAATTTCTACCCAATTGTTGCATATTTCTTCCAGTTCCATACTTCTCAAGGCAGTAATTGCAGCCTGGAATAAACTCGAATGGTGTTTCTAATCTATTCGTATGTTTTTTGGTCAGCTACTGGTACAATTTTGAATCGAGCAACTGGAGTGCAGTTTATAAACACACAGTTGGCAAGGAATTCAAACTTAAAGCTGGTTATGATTCAGAGGTGCGGCTTGGCTGGGCATCTCTTTGGGTAAGTTCTACTTGTTCATTTTAATGGCCTTCTAGTGATTAATGATGGCAGTTGTATTTTGATTATCTTTCCTTTACTTTGCTGATCTTCAAATTGCTTGGATGGCTTTGCATATTTTGTAGCACATTTTCTTATTTTTGTGTGCTTTCTATGTTCTATTTTATTCTTCGGGTGATAAAGTTGTCGGTGGTGCTAACAATCACCAAGCACATTCTACCCCGGAGGCTGCTAGTCAGTCCCGTCCTTTGTAGAGTAGATGTTACACAAAAACTGCAAAACGTGCTACAATTCTATCTGTACATGTCAGCAAATATACTGCTTGAAATAGATTCTATAATGGTCTTTCCAATTGTCTCTTTTCTAAAAATTCCGTAACTTTGTCACGCTACATTAGGAGTAAATTCATTTAACCCCCTTTGCACTTTATCCCCTTTTGTTTGAAAATAAAAAAAAAACCCACTACCAATCTCCACCCATTGTTCATATGGTGTAACCACCATTGGCCTACCCATGAGAGATCAAGGCTCTCCATCTATTGGACATATATGCATTATAGGTTTGTTTTGTGTATATGAAAACAAGGGTTTTTCCTTGTCGCTAGCCAGGGCGAAAAAGGGGCTTCTCTTGTGATTCTGGATGACTGATTTGTCATGTCGTTTTGGCCGAGGTCATTTACATTGGTTTGGTGTTGATACCAGTAGGACATGTTAGCTTTGCTGGGGAGAAAGATGTTGGCCGGTAGAGGTATTGCAATGCCAATGATGGTATATTGACCTTGAATGCATGGTTCAAGTTCACAGTATCGGTCATCGATTCGGAGAGTTCTAAGACACATCGGTCATGGCGTGGTATCGGGCGATATGACTTAAAAAAAATGTTGAACATGGCGGGAAATTCATGGCATACTACAACGTCGTGAAATCGTATCAATCGATTTTGTGGCGATAATTTGGCAATTCAAGATTGATTTGGTTACAACTCAGTCATGTGAGACTCGGGGTTTATACGTATCATGTAACAAGTATCGTCTCAGAAGATGCAAAGTCGGATACGACTCGACTGACTCTTATGGGTATCGACCAATATTTTGAACTATGGTCCAAGCCCGCTAACAAGGATAGAAGTGACTTTTACAACTTTATTTGGATTGTTTCCCCTCACCAATTCACTTTATGGTCCACATCAATGTTTTAAAAAGCGCGCTTAGGCGAGAAGCGAGGCAAAGCGAAGGGATCTCGCCTGAAAGACCCCAGGCGAAGCAAATGCTAGTGAAGCGAGAAAAAAGCGAAAAAAGCGATAGCGAAAAGCGAAAAAGCGAACACCTGAGTCATTAGAGGCGAAGTTGTTTTATTTTTATTATGGACCGTTGGATTGGACAATTGGAAAAAAAATTTTAAGATGTTGATACACTGAATTATCCCCTTATCCCATAAATATAACCCAAAACCCTAATTTTATTTATCAAATTACACGATCACTGGACCAGCAGACAGAACATAGAGAACATAGAACACAGAGATCGTTGTTCCTACTCGATCGACAGAGTCGCTACTCCTCTCGATGGACTGGACAGAGACGATCGCTGGAGGCTAGACAGATCTCGCTGATCGTTGTTCCTTCCTTCCTCACACGATCGACAAAGTCGCTGCTCCTATCGGTGGACTGGACGGAGTCGCTACTCCTTCCTTCCTCATTGATCTTGCTGATCGTTGTTCCTTCAAGACAGAGACTCGATCACTGCAGGTTAGTCTTCTCTTTTTCTTCTCTCTTCTATTTCTCTTTTCTTCTTTTTTCTGGTTCTGGTTTTGGTTTTTTCTTTTTTCTGGTTCTGTTTTTTTTTTTTCCAGATTCTGATTTTGCTCTTTTTTTTTTTTTTTTGATTCTACTCCTTTTTTTTCCTGATTGTGCTTCTGTTTTGCTGTCCTCTTCTGTTTTGCTGTTCTAAATCTGATAGTGTTGTTCTATTTTGCTGTTGTGCTGTTGTTTTGTTGTTCTGTTTTGTTATCCTAAAATGTGATTCAATACGTGTATAAGCCTACTAATGTACATAAAAATATTTAGTATATATAAAATTAGAACTTAGATGTTTAGAAATAATTAAACTAAAATATTTATTATTTTTTTGAACTCTTCGCTTCGCTTCGGTAAAGCGTGTCGCTTCGCTTCTCGCTTCTCGCTTAGGCTTTAGGAGCCTTGGTTGCTTCGGTTCGCTTTACGCCTTAAATAACACTGGTCCACGTCAACTTATGTATCAAGTAGCATTTCTCCAATCTAAGGAATTCACAAATAGCTTTCCTAATCTCGGGTGCTCCATGGCTTTGAATTATTCTCAAGGATTTTGGTAGATTAAATCAAACCATATGTAAATGCATGTTTCTAGTAAGAATTTTTTTTGAAGCAATCATCCCCTCATGATGTCATAATGACCACTATAAGAGAATTGATGGGCATTTCTCAATAATCAAATGGTGAAAGGAAATATCTTATCGCCGTATCTGACTATGCATTGTGCTTCACCAATTAGGGTCTGATTGTATGCGTATCCTCCTTTCTTATGTATTTATATAGATATGTATTGTGCACGGTGATTTTCGCACAATAAGAGAAATGGACAGATCTCTCCTTTAGTGAACACGAGTATTACTTGAAAGTCGATCCCGAGGCAAACGGAAATGAGAAAGAGCATAAGGAGTGGTGATAAATTACTTTTTCAGCTGTCTGCGCGATCTGGCATGTCAAGAAGGATTGTGCCACTCAAAAAAGATAGTTAGAAGGGCGTCGGGTGTTTTCTGACGTGACCCCTCCGATGATCAAGTCAGTACGTGAGAGAAGGGTGATAATTCACTGTTCTATTGCTTAGGTATGGTTTGCGTACTTTTGCCTTACATTTTTTAGGGCTTTTTATACTTTTATGAAGACAATCATTACTAGCAAGTGGGCCCCTTAAAGAAGTCCTCCATTGGCCCATTTGGAAGGTAGTGGGCGGTGCTCAGTCCTTGGACAGAGCACCTTCCATTTTGCGTGGAAGAGGCCTAGGCATTAAATACTAGGGCTCTCGAGCACTTAATGCTCTTCCTTCTAGGATTTTCGAGCATTAACCACGTCCCATCCTTCTAAGTGATTATTTAATGTTTCATTGTAATGGCTATGCACGAGAAAGGGTATCTTTGTCTATTGGTCCTTGCTTTTGCGCTCTTTGCCACATGTAACATCGTCATTGGGTGTGGGTCTATTCCCTCTACCATTCTGACTGTTTTGGGAAGACAAGTCAATGATTATTGATCAATTAACCTCTAAGTAACGATAATCGTCAATTTGCTACCTATGCCTCAGGGTCTTGGAGTCGAGATGACACGTATGGAAATGGATCTCAAGGGCGTTATTCACGTCGAGGACACGTGTCACTTGCAGACAGTCGAGGGACCTTCGGTGCCGAGGACACGTGTCACAATGCTAACCACTCTGAGGTGGTGTTACGCCGAGGACACGTGTCACTCAAAGGAACTCTACAGTACCTTTTGCCGAGGCACATGTCAACTGCACATGAAGTTGAGAACAACCGAGCCGAGGGCACGTGTCTCAATCTAAGCAATCCTAGGGAATGGATGCCGAGGACACGTGTCAATCCATGGGGCTTCCATGTTTCTCATGCCGAGGACGCATGTCATTTCTCGGTTGATTCTCAGAAGTGTCCCATCATGTATGTATATGTGTGTGTATTTTTTGTAACGTGTACACTGAGAGAGATTATGGATTGGTTTTTCATTTATTTATAATTATTTGGATGACGGGATTAGATGGTGACGAAGGTGGTGTAGACCGACAATTGAGTGAGAGAGAAGAGGAAGCTGAAGTGTATCATGTTAAGAAATAATTTGTAGTTCAAACCATGTAAGTTGGTTAGTGTATTCTAAAATAGAAGTGATGCAGATCGGAAAGAAGTTGGATTATGGATGAGGATTGAAATTAAAGATTAGAATTTAGATTATAATAGTATTCGATAATTTTNCCCGGTTGATTCTCAGAAGTGTCCCATCATGTATGTATATGTGTGTGTATTTTTTGTAACATGTGTACACTGAGAGAGATTATGGATTGGTTTTTCATTTATTTATAATTATTTGGATGACGGGATTAGATGGTGACGAAGGTGGTGTAGACCGACAATTGAGTGAGAGAGAAGAGGAAGCTGAAGTGTATCATGTTAAGAAATAATTTGTAGTTCAAACCATGTAAGTTGGTTAGTGTATTCTAAAATAGAAGTGATGCAGATCGGAAAGAAGTTGGATTATGGATGAGGATTGAAATTAAAGATTAGAATTTAGATTATAATAGTATTCGATAATTTTGGATTTGTTGGATTTTATTACTTTTTTGGGATTTATCTTTTCTTTGATGAGTTATATTAAGAAATCTTTGATTCAGGGTTTTGGTATTCCCTTGATGTTATTACTTTGGTAGAATTGAATTATCAATGGAATATTATGAATAATTTCTCATTTCTTTTTCCTCTATTCTTCTTTCTTCTGATTTCTGCCCTTCTTAATTCACTCTTAACTCCTAACAAAGCCTTAATCCCAACAAATTAGGGTCGGCTACATAAATGTTGTTTCTTCATTGTACTCAATCAACGGTCATATTTGATGTTAAATCGTAAGCTCTTATATCCCTTTTAACTATTTCGTTCAAATTTATTTTAGGCTTGTCTCTGTCTCTCACATTGCCATTGATATGTATCAATCACTCTTCCTTACTGGTGCATTACTAGTTCTTCTACAAATATTTCCAAATCACTAAGTTGATTCTCTCTTAATCTGTCTCTTACTAGTGCTATTTCTATGGTTACACGTATTTATTTGTTCCTAATTCTATCATTTTTTATTTTACTACACATTCATCTTAATATTCTTATTTCTGCAACTTATGTGCATGGTAATGCTGTGAGCTTTTTGTTTACAAAAAAATGAAAACAANACGTTAACCAATTTGTTTACGACTCAACTCATCAACACTAACAACTGTAAGAACTTGGTAAATTTCTACACGTAGCTTTCCTTGATTTAGCTTGTAGTATGTCAGCTTGTTCTAGTTGCAGCCCAAACATCTACTATAAACTCATGGAATAGTTTTCCCACTCTAAAAATTGTTGAATACTCAGTAGGACATTGAAACAAACGATAAAATATTGCATCTAAGAGAGTCTAGTAGTTGAAGGTTGACGACATAAGACGCCCCACTGTTTGAAATCAGG